ACTTCATTTCTGTTTATGGATGAATCATATTCAATTATATGGATATACTATGTTTTATTTATTCATTCATTAGTTGATAAGCATTTAGTTTGTTTCCAATTTTTGGTTATTATGAATAATGCTGCTATGAATACTTTGCACAAGTTTTTGTGTGGACAAATGTTTCTCTTGGATATATACCTAGGAGTGGAGTTACTGGGTCATATGGAAATTATATGCTGAACTGCTAGGCTGTTTTGCAAAGTGGTTGTACCACTTAAATATTTTTACTGTAAAGTCTATTTTATCCGATATTAATATAGCCACTCCAGCTTTCTTATGATTGCTTTTTGAATGATTCATGTTTTTCCATTCTTTTAATTTCAACCTCTGTGTATCTTTGAATCTAAACTGCTCCTATAGGTAGCATATAGATGGATTTTGTTTATTAATGTATTCTGTTCAATTCATTCACACAATGTTATTATTATCGATATAGTTGAATTTATGTCTGCCATTATAATTTTTGTTTTCTGTGTCTCATGTCTTTTTTGTTCATCTCTTCCTACTTTACTCTTTTTTTCTTTAACTGAATATTCCTTAGTGTAACATTTAAATTTCTTTAATGATTTTTTCCCTATATTTTTTGGAGTTATTTTCTTAGTGGTTTCTCTAGGTCTTACCATATCGTCTTAACTGACCAGAATCTTCTTTAGATTTATACCAACTTAGTTCCAGTAAGATTAAAAAAAATCATCTGGTGATTCAGGAAATCTTGAGGGTGTTTTCTTACGTGTGTATATTACCTGAACTATTATTACATCTATGGCAGTGCCTAAAATGTAATACTTTGCTATTTAGAGCTAGAGGCAGTCTATCGAGTCAAGCTGCAGTCTACTTAACAGGGATAGGTGGCACTCTTCCCTGTATATAAAGAAATCTGTTTGTAGAAAAACAAGTGATGACAGCATGCAAGATGACTGAATCACTAAGACAAGGAATGAAGTTGTGTCTGACCTCTCATTAGTTTGGGATCTGCCCACAATCTTATATTTCAGTTGGCTTCATTAACTCATTCAATATATTTTTCAGGTGGCTCTTACATATTTTGCTGGATGCTTCCAGAATACATAAAAAAGAGAGGAGTCCAACTCTCCAAGAGTTTTCAGGGACATACCAATCAAGGTTGTCCTGATTTCCACTCTTGCCTCATACTAACTTAGTCACAAAACCTTAACTCCGATGAGTCTATGTTTTCACTACGCCTGAGTGCCAATGGAGAAATTACACATATTTGAAACGGGATAAAGATTTGTTGCTTGTTTGGTATCATTAAGGGAGATGTGACTCTTTGAAGAACTGAGATGTTGGACTTCACTGGCTGAACAGGGGTTAAGAATTCACCTGCCAATGCAGGGGGCACTGGTTCGATCTCTGGTCCGGGAAGATCCCATGTGCCACGGAGCAACTAAGCCTGTGTGCTACAACTACTGAGCCTGCAAGCCACAACTACTGAAGCCCGCGTGCCTAGAGCCCGTGCTCTGCAACAAGAGAAGCCACTGCAATGAGAAGCTTGCGCACCACAATGAAGAGTAGTCCCCACTCGCTACAACTAGAGAAAGCCAGCAGGCAGCAACAGACCCAGTGCAGCCAAAAATAAAATTAATTAATTAATTAAATTTAAAAAAAAAAAGAATTGAGATGTTTGTATTTTAAAACCCGATTTGGTTCCTGTTCAGTTTCCCATTCTGGCTCCCTGTAGACCCCAGTGTCTTCTTGTGATATGGCTCAGTCCCCAGGTTGAGGCCACTGTTCTCTTCCTTCCCCACATCAAAGTTTAGCTGCATCCCTGGGTGGTAGGACTTTAGATGGCTTTTATCTTTGTGCTTTTCTGTACCTGATTTTATTTTCTGCAGTAAGTATGCATTATTGACACAATCAGCAAAAAAAGTTAGAGCTATTTTTATTGTAAAATTAAACAAATCTTGATTGCTTCTTGTTCAGTTTCTTTAGGTCTCAGTTGGAGATGGACTAGTGCAGCTTAAATATTAACCCGAGTAAAGCTTATTCTTCGTCCTTCTCCAGGAAGCATTTTCTTACTTCAGTCAGCATTAACTCCAGCCACCCAGCCTGCTATGTTGAAAATCCTGGATACATCCTGAACCACCACATCCAAACACTCTCTAATTCTGTTAATTGTCTGTTTAAATCTCTGTCAAATATGCCCACCCCACTTGCTACTGCCCTAGTTTAGGCACTTATCATCTCTCATCCATAGTACTGTAATGCCCTTCTAACTGGTCTCTCCACCTTCAGTTTCATTTCCTCTAGTACAGTCTCCTAAATCATGACTCTTCCCTACTTAACATCCTTTACTGGCTCCCCACTGTCTATGGGAGTCTGAGTCAGAATGTCTCAGCATGGTCTACATATTTCTTTTTTTTTTAAAGTTTTTATTTTATATTGGAGTATAGTTGATTAACAATGTTGTGTTGGTTTCAGGTGTACAACAAGGTGATTCAGTTATCCCTATACATGTATCTATTCTTTTTCAAATTCTTTTCCCATTTCTTAAGCCCTGACACCAACTTTATCTCTTGCCACTTCTTGGTAAGTAACCTACACTTCAACAATACTCAACTACTTTCCAGTCTGTTGCATAGTTCTGTCTCTAGTTCTGGCTCCCTCTTGTCTTGTTAGCCTTTGACCTTGTTTTTCTTTTGCTTAGAATGTCCCTCCTCCCTTGCTTGCCAATTAAATTTCTCTTTCTTCCTACTGGTTCAGAAAGCTAGAGTCAGGTAGACTTCCTCCATTCAACCTTCCCTCTCCTAGAGTAGCAGGCTGTGATAATCATTCTATCTGCTCCTACTGAATCCAGAAGATAACAACATCAAAAATAATGATAAACCTCAGTGTAGAAAAGTGTAAAATAACTGTTGATATTTATTGACTACTTATATATGCCAGCGTCTGTACTTGGAGCTCTGTAGGCATTGACTCATTTCATCCTTACAGTGACCCTGTAAGGTAGGCACTTAAAAAAAATTTTTTTTTAATTTTAATTTTTTTATGTCTTTACTGGAGTATAATTGCTTTACAATGGTGTGTTAGTTTCTGCTGTATAACAAAGTGAATCAGCTATATGTACACATATATCCCCATAGCCCCTCCCTCTTGCATCTCCCCCCCACCCTCCCTATCCCACCCCTCTAGGTGGTCACAAAGCACTGAGCTGATCTCCCTGTGCTATGTGGCTGCTTCCCATTAGCTATCTATTTTACATTTGGTAGTGTATATATGCCCATGCCATTCTCTCACTTTGTCCCAGCTTCCTTTCCCCACCCCGCCAACCCCTGCCACCAAGGTAGGCACTTTTATTATCCCTTCTTATTATAATACTTGCCCTACTTGTCTTGAAATGGCTAACTTATTGTCAATCTCCCCAATAGACAGTTGTTTTTATTCATCTTTAGATTCCTAGCAACTAATACAAGTTCCGTACGTGTGGTTTTTGGAATGTGATAAAGCCAACATTCATATTTAACCAAGCCTTGATCCCAAGGAGTGAATGATGTGAGATTTTCAGGTCAGTGGTGGGAGAGGCTTGGAGTTTGGGCAGAGGCATTCAGGGTCCCTCCAGTAATATTAAATGATCTTTCCCCTTGAACTAAATGGCATCCTCCTACTTGCTTAAGAAAACCACCTGGGAGTCACCTTGTTTACCACCTTTCTTCACACCTGCACCTCAGGAAAATATCCTGAGATCCTTCAACTTCTGTTTCTATAGCAACCACCCTAATCCAGGTCACCATCATATATTGCATGGACTTGTCCAATAGCTCTCTATCATTCTCTGGCTTCTCCCTGTTCCATTTCTAACCCCCTGCAAGTCATTCTCTACAAAATAGGTTGACTTAAAAAACAAGACAAGACATAACTTAACAAACAAAAAATCCAAACAACAGGATTAGCCTTCTGCTTAACTTGCCAACCTCAGTCTCATACCCTCCACACAAGGTGTTTCAGGCCTCCTGGCCTTCTGTTCCTCAAAGAAGCCAACGTTGTTCAGCATTAGCACTTCCGCACCCATGTCCTCGGTCTAGAATGCTCTTCTTCCCCATAATTGGCATAGCTGGCTCCTCCTCATTTAAGGCTTAGTTCAGATCATCTCCTCAAAAAGTCCTTTCTTGACCACTCTGTTTTGTTTTCTTCTTAACACATCACTACCTGCTATTATTTTATTTACTTTTTTTAAAAAGTTATCTTTTCCACTAGAAATATAAGCATCTAAGTGCTGGGCTTCTGTTATATTCACTCCTGTATCCCTAGCACCAAGAACAAAACACAATATTTTTTGAATGAATAAACAAAACAAGGGGAAAAAATGAGCCTTTTTTGTATGTGTATATAGTGGTGAGCAGTCTTAAAGAAAGGAGTCCCTGTGTTCCTACTGCTCTTAAACTGGTAGGAGGGGAGAGGTGATGTATCAGATCCTATTGTCATCCAGGTGGCAGAATTAGCAATCACAACTGTAGAAGAGGTAAACTGGGTGTGCCTGCCAATGACTGCCAGTCCTGAATTGACTGAACGCTGAAGCCAGGTTCTGCTTCGGGGTGAACAATGCTGGGTGCTCTGGGCGGCCAGGGGAACTTATACAAATCTCTTTGTTAAAAGGTCCACCGAGAGTAGTCAGTTTAGGTAACCTTGATCCATTTGTTCAGGGCAGCCTGACCGGGTCATGGGTGGCCATCTCAACCTGATAGTGTAGGGTTGGATTAACTAGACAGGCTAGGTTAGCTCGTCCTGGTTTGCAGGCTGAGAGTGTGGCCTTTCAGTCCCTGTTGCCCACATCATTCCCTTTTCACCTACCTTTGCCTACGTATTGGCCTTCATAAAATCTAAGCGATCTAAACAGATACAATCTAATTGTATCTAATGTCCTAATCTCTCTGCATCATTATTTTCTCTTTAATTGTGAAGTCCCCTTTTAAATTACTTCATTGCCCCGGTATTTCACTTACCTTACTGTCTCTTTATCTAGTTCGCTGAAGGACACAGTTGAGAACAATTTTCAAAGCATTAAAGCATCCCATGACAAACGCTTCTGGCTAGCGCTTCTAGTTGTCCTAGGGGGTCAGTTCAAACTGCAATAATCCACAGTTCTATAGGCGGATTCTGCGAGTCTCTGGAAGAGGCACTAGACTCGTCAGTTCTGCGCTACCATGCAGGGCTCCTTTTCGGACAGGCAGCAAGTTGCCTCGGTCCCATTTCTGCAGAACATTGAATCGCTGCGGTAGAAATGGAAAGCAAGCTACTGTCGCGGGAATCAAGGTCTACTCGCGCAAAGCTTCCCGCTTAGTGGGCCAAGGCCAGCGTGGGTCTCTAGCCTGGGAACCCCGCGCACTCGGGGAGGGGCGGGGCGGCCGTGGGCGGTGGGCGGAGCCTGACGGCGGGCGGGAGCACCAGTGAAAGCCTCAGCCGGCGCTGGCCGTGCGCATGACGCTGCGTAGCGGGCTGCGAGGCTGGGGGCGGAGGGGCTGGGGAGTCGGGCGCGTTACATTCGTTTGCTGTTGGGCTGGTGGCGTTGGCGGCCTGGGGCAGCCGGGAAGCGAGCGGCTAGGAGCCGACCTTCTTGCCAGCCGCGCTGTGACGGCTTCTCGGCTTTGCCCTCCTTGCTGAGGTCCCCGCTGTCAGGCTCCGGCCCCAGGTAATGCCCATGCTCCCCAGTCCCCTCCTCACTTCCTGCCAGGGTCCACCCGCCTCTGCCGGAGAAGAAGGGGAGAGAAGTGGCGGCTGCAACTCTGGCCCGGGGGCCTGGCCTTGTCCTGGGCTGAGAGGAGGGGGAGGCTCTGCGAGTCCTGGGCAGTTTGGGGGATGGGGCGGGCGGGAAAGTTACCTTCGGGCGCCGGTATGGCTGGCAGCCTTTTAAACCTTGGAGGTTTGTTTGGTGTCCCCCCAAATCCTGTGACATCTCTCAAGCCAGTAGTAAAGAAAGTTATGAATTAGAATACATTTTATTCCTTAAAAAGCGAAACCAAAAACGCACTCAGAGTGTCAGCTACTGACTGATTTTAGGGGAAAAAAGTGTGAAGGGATAGGTGGTACTTCAAGACATCGAAATCTGGATACCAAAACCTTTAATCAACTCACTTCATTTTGAAGTATTAGGATGTGATTAAGTTTCTGTCATTCTTAAATGTTAATAGCCATGCAGTTTAAATGATATGTATGTTTAGAAGTTATTTGTAAGCGAGAAACACCTATAAGCTCTCAGGTGGGTGCTGTTTAAACTAATTTTTTTCCAGAGTCCCTTGAATTCGAGTAGAATTCAACTCGAAGCATTCTTCTTTTTTTCCCCTTGCTTTAAGTTGGGCGGTATTGACGTTAGGGAAGTTGTGTGTTGTTTAGGCATGAGGATGGATTTTGGAAGGAGCTCTGATGCATTCAAGACTATTCCTTTAAAAATGCACGTGTCTCATTGCATCATGTGCTGCGAACTCTCAAGATTTCACATTCTTAGGATAAAGATCAAAACACTGCTGCCACTCTTATCTCCAGTTCAGTTTGAGCTCTCTGGGCTCCAGCCACACCGGTTTTATTTTTGTTCTTCTAAGAAAGCCTCTTTCTCTTTACTGTCTCCTGGTCTTTAGGGGTTTCCTTCACCTCTAATTCGCTCATTTCCTCTAATATCAGCCCTAATATCACTTTTTCAGGAAACCCATCCTGTGGGGGGTTAAACCCTCCTAGCGCTCTATTTTTCTTAGCTGCAGTTAATCATCAATTGTAATGAGCTGCGTTAGTTACTTAGATGCTTTGTTTCTTCTACTAGCATGTAAATTTCATGAAGGCTGGGCTAGTCCATCTTATTTAGATCTTAGTTCGCAGTCTGGCCCAGCACCTGGCACAATGAGAGAATGAATGAGTTGGAGGACAGAGGAGGGAAATTTCTTTTTTTTTTTAATGATTGCTTTTATTTATTTTATTTTTGGCTGCATTGGGTCTTCGTTGCTGTGCGTGGGCTTTCCCTAGTTGCGTCGAGCGGGGGCTACTCTTCGTTGCGGTGCGCCGGCTTCTCATTGCGGTGGCTTCTCTTGTTGCGGAGCATGGGGTTTGCGCACGCGGGCTTCAGTAGTTGTGGCACGCAGGCTCAGTAGTTGTGGCGCACGGGCTTAGTTGCTCCTCGGCATGTGGGATCTTCCCGAACCAGGGATCGAACCTGTGTCGCCTGCATTGGCAGATGGATTCTTAACCACTGCACCACCAGGGAAGTCCCAAGGAGGGAACTTTTGAATGAAAAATATTAACTAGAGATTACCTGTTTCCTTTGGGAAGGAAAAGGAAAAAGTTTTTAACAAAGGCCAGTTAACAAAATGTATTTTTGGAATTTATCACATAGGATAAATGATTATAGTGACCATACAGGTGTAAATGAGAATTTGTGTTCTTTAGTTTTGCTAATTGATAAGCCAGTTCTTTGATATGTAAATATAGGGTTGTACTAGGGCAAACCTTTATTTGGAAAGAAGAAAGGGAACCTTTATGTTTTGGATTGTATCTGTAAAGTGTTTCTCTTTACCCCTACTGAACCTGGGAGTGATGTAACAAAGTCTTCACCTAGAGTAGGTGTTCCTGTTCAATGTTTCTTTTTTTTTTTAATAGATTTAAATCTGCTTTTGAAAGCTTTATTAATAAGGAACACTGCAGGCAGGCTAAAGTGAACACTTCTTTCCAACGTGATTCATTTTAGTGGTTCAATCCAATTCTTTTTGTTTCGCTTTCTTAAGGCAAGTTAGATACTACCACACTGAACATTCCAAAACCAGTGAACTGGTTGGATTCTTAAGAAATAATTGTTCAGTGTGTTGTATTTTTAAAGTAGCTAGTCAACTTTATGCCACTTCGGGTGTAAATGTTTCTGCTGCCACTTACTGTCATGTGACTGAGTTTAGTAGTGTTTCCGAATCTTTTGCACCTTTTAAAATGGAAATTTTAAGTGAGGTATGTGATGCACTGACCCTGGCACCCAGCACTTTAAATGTTACTGACATGATAAACATGTGTGCCTATTTCCTTTATTGCTGCACCTCTTGTGAGACTAGTCTTATGACCATGATTTTCACTTCCTCAACTCCTTTTGCAACCCAATTCAATATGTTTCTTTCTCTCTCTTCCTGAAACTTCCTTCTTCCTGAAACTAATTATGCATGTAAATTGTAGCTACTAATGTCCCCAGATTGTGAAATATTCAGTGCCCCATGCTCTTTTTTTTTTTTCTTCCTGTATTTTTTTGGTCCTACCTGAATTTTCCATGGTATTGACCGTAGGTTACCTCTTGTATCCTCTAACTTGATTTGGAACATTGCTTGCTCCTGGTTCTCCTCTAATCTTTCCTAGGCCTTGTTTTTTTTTTTTACAGTTCTTTAATTGCCTTGTAATATTGGAAAATGTTAACCACTTCTAAAATGAGATAATAGTGGGAATTCCCTGGCGGTTCAGTGGTTAGGACTCTTTCACTGCTGTGGCCTGGGTTCAATCCCTGGTCAGGGAACTAAGATCCCTCAAGCCATGTGGCGTGGCCAAAAGAAAAAAGGGTTAATAGTATCTGCCACATAGATTGTTGTGAGGATTAAATGAGCCAAAGTAAGTACTAGGCAAATGTTAGCTTTGTTATTTCCTAAGTAATCTCTTTTCTTGACTTATGGCCTCTCCCTGAGACTTCCTTCCTGTGCTTGGCCTTAGCTGCTGCCTATACACCAATGAATCCCACATCTCTCTCTTTAGTCCAGATTTGTATATTCATTTGCCTGTTGGCGATAATCACTTGGCTGACTCACCGGTATATCATATTGAACTTATCTACTCATTTCTCTTCTCCTGTAGTTACTTAGCTTAATGGCACACCCGTAGGCTTAGTTAGGAAACTCGCTTGGGATCTGTATTTCCAACTGCCTTCTGGATGTAGGCACCTGGATATCTCATAGATGCCTCAGCTTAATGTTTGTAAATTTATCCGATCTCTCTTATCTCTTCTTCATGAAATCATTTGTCCATTTAAGAAATACATGTCATTTGAGCCTTACTTTAGGCCCTTATCATTTGTGAGAGCTCATTGTTCTCCCTGTTATCCAGGAGGGCAAAATTTCCCCCTTTACCCCTCTTGAGTTCTCTTTTTTTTCTCCCCCAGTATTTGCTTTTTTATTCTGATAAAATATGCAAATCATAAAATAAACCTTTTTAAAAACAATTTTATTTTATACTGGAGTATAGTTGATTTAACCCCTCTTGAATTCTTGACACAAGGTAGCTTAACAGGAGAAAAAAGAATCTTTGATTCGTGTGCATGGAGGTCTCATAGAAACAAGACCTAAGAAGTGGCCAAAGTAGGCAGCTTTTATATGTTTTAGACCAACAATAAATTAGAGAGGAATTGACAGGACAAAGAAGCTTAGGTTTGGGTGCTTAATTAGTAAGGAACTTAAGCAAAGTTTGGGCTTGGTTAGTAAATTAGCAAAGAAGTGGCAGGTGTTTCCTTATACAGGTCTCTGGGCCCTGAACTCCCCATCTCTGGTGATAAGGATGTCTTTCTACCTTCCATTACAGGAAGGGCACCTTTTACATGGGAGATTTATTTCCTGTTTTCAGGGAGACAGAGAGGAGGGTCATAGTCTCCCCCTTGCAACCGCTTTTTCTTCAAAATAGTCAGTATGCCACTGAGGCATATTTTGGGGCAGCCCGCCCTGGGCCCCAGCACTGCCAATAGCACATCCTCCACATTGCCGCCTGAGTTCTTACTAAAAGACAAATATCAAGTCAGACAGATATAAGTCACCCTCTGTTTAAAAGCCTCTATCAACTCCTTGTTTTGTGTGTTAAGTTCCAAACTCCTTAGAATTGCCCCTAAGGACCCTTGACCTTTTGTCCTTGCCCTTCCATTTACCCTGTGCTCCAGCCTTTTCCTTCTCTTCCTTTAAGATTTAACCTAGATTTTACCTACTTCTCGAAACCTTTCCTAATTGCCCCTAAGCTCTATTGGGCATCAGGCTTGTATTCCCTTCATGTACATACATCTAAATTACTGTTCTGTAATACTCCTATAATTATGTTTTTATATCTTTCTCTCAGTAGTTTTTCATTCCTTGAGGGCTCAGACTGTTTAATCGTCTTTGTATCCCAGGGCCTGGCATGTAGTAGACATCAATAAAATGTTTGAAATAATGGATCTGTCACCAAGGTCTGTACATGTTCATGTTTTCAGAGTGCTCTTCATCTGGTTCTGTTTTGATGCCTGGCAAACTTCTATGTCTTCTCTGAACTCTGGCTCTAATGTCACCTCCATGAGGACTTATGCAACTTCTCTAAGTGGTTGGTTATGCCTTTTCTTGACACCGTGTGTGCGTGAGTGTGTGAGAACAGTTAATGGGGTAGACCTCTGTATTATTTACAATACATCTAACATCATTGTAGAAAGAGGTGCTTAAAATACATGGATTTTCAGATAATTGACACGTACCTTTTAAGTGTCAAAACTTAAAAAAATTGTTTTTCAAGGCAAATTAAAATTTTTGTCCTTGCCTTCTATGTTTAAAGTACCATAGCCTTTTACAAGATGTGCCAGGGTCATTAAAGCATGAACTTCAGGGGAGTTCCATGGTAGTCTAGTGGTTAGGATTCCAGGCTTTCACTGTTTGGCCCAGGTTCAATCCCTGGTAGGGGAACTAAGGTCCTGCAAGCCGCGTGGCACGGCCCAAAAAACCAAAAACCGAAAAACAAAAAAAGCAGCATGAATTCAGCAGGTCTGCTTTTTTTTTTTTTTTTTTTTTTTTTGGCTGCGTGCTCTTTCATTGCCGTGCTCCGGCTTATCTCTAGTTGTGGCCCACGGGCTCCAGAGCGCATGGGCTCTGTAGTTGTGGTGGCGTGGGTTTAGTTGCCGTGCAGCATGTCGGATCTTATTTCCCCAACCATGGATCGAACCCACGTCCCTTGCATTGGGGGGGCAGATTCTTAACCACTGGACCACCAAGGAAGTCCCTGCAGGTCTGCTTTGATACAATAATGTGTTTGGGGACTCATAAGAAACATAAGCCCTTTAACCCTACGTGAAAAGACCTATGGTTGCTTTCTCTTTTTTAAAGTTGATTCCTACTTTTAAAGTTTTCTTTCTTTACGGTTGTCTATAATGATGCTTCTGGTTGTCACGACTTTTTACTGTGTGAACTGGGGACAGGATTACCTACCTCACAGGGTTATTGTTAAGTTTAAAGGAGGTAATGTATACAAAGATCTTATCAGAAATTGTAGCCAGTGGTAAGTACACATTAAAAGGAACTTACCAGCAATTCTAATAATGTTTGTTCTAATTATTTGAATTGTTTCAGGAGAAAAATCTCTCAAGTTTGAGAGATTTTCCAGGGAAGCAAAAGTCATGGCATTTGTTAGCAAACTGTTTTTCAAAGTCTGTTAGACAGCCTGAGTTTATAACTGGGTCCAGAATGGCCGATGCTGATGAAAAGTCTTAAGCTCCAGAACGGATCATTTTTATGTGCATCCATACAACTTAAACCCCAAACTGGGGTCTATGTTTATCTTTTAGTGTTAACAGGTAAAGTTAGAAATGAACATGAGTTCCAATTCTCATACTATCCTCTTGATGATTGTTGCATGAACATGTGAAGGGAAGTTGTTTTATTTCCTTACTGTGTATGAAAATGCTTGATAACTATTCATTCATTCATGTATGAAGTACAGACTGTTCCAGGCAAAGTCCTAGATAGTTGGATAAAATGGTGAACAAGTCAAAATTCTGCTTTTCATGGGGATTAGTCTTGTGGGGTAGACAATTAAAACTATAATGTAGTGGGAAATAAGTGCACTGAAGAAAAATAAAGCAGGGTAAGGGATAAGACTAACGGGGTGTGAGAGTGTTTATTTTAGTTGGGGTAGATAGGGGAGTCCCTGGGGAGGGGACATTTGAGAACTTGAATGAAGTGAGGGGGAAATCCTTGAGGGAGGGTGTCTGGGGGAGATAATCCAGGTAGAGGAAATAGCGGACACCTTTAAGTGGGAGTGAACTTGGCTTGACCAAGAAACAGCAGAAGGCCGAAGTAATGAGAATGAGCAATGAGAATTGTAGTCGGAAGTGGAGGGTCGGGAGGTGAATGGCAGATCATGGAGGAGTTACTAGACAATGGTGAGGGCTTGGAACAGAATTCAGTGCCTGAAGGATTTTGAGCCAGGGGAATGACCTGCTCAGATTTACCTTTTAAAAGGGTACTCTGGGGCTTCCCTGGTGGCGCAGTGGTTGAGAGTCCGCCTGCCAATGCAGGGGACGTGGGTTCGTGCCCCGGTCCGGAGGGATGCCACATGCCGCGGAGCGGCTGGGCCCGTGAGCCATGGCCGCTGAGCCTGCGCGTACGGAGCCCGTGCTCCGCAACGGGAGAGGCCACAACAGTGAGAGGCCCGCGTACCGCAAAAAAAAAAAAAAAGGGTACTCTGGGCCCTGTGTGACCAGAAGGGAGAAGATGAGGCGAGACCAGTTAGGCTACTACAGTGAGAGGTGGCGGTGGCTTAGACTGTGGTGAAGGTGATGGATGTGGTGAAAAGTTTAGAATGTGATATATATTTTGAAGACAGAGTAAAATGGACTTGCTGTTGGATTGATTAAGGGAAAGTAAAGAATCAAGGATAACTCTGGGTTTTTTGTTTTTAATGTGGGCAAAGACTGACTGCTAGTTCCATTAACGGAATTAGGAAAGACAGAAGAATGGAATTGGAGGGAACATCAGTAGTTCAGTTTTGGTCATGTTAAAGTTTGAGATGCCTGTAAGACATCTACTTACATAAAGGTGTCCGGGGGGCCTTTGGATAGGAGTCTGGAGCTCAGGGAAGTCTGGACCTGCTGAGGAAAGGAGGGTATCACAGTAAGTGAACTGGTGGTGATCAGAGCGTTAGACGCTAGAAATGAAAATTATGGACATGGTGCAGTTGTTGGTAACAGTAAGTTCTAGGGGAAGATGTGACTGGGACATAGGAACAGCTTTTTGGAGAAAGGAAGAAGTCAAGGAGCTTGGAGGCCAGGAGCTTGGATCTAGTCCATAAATATTGAAGTGAAAGAAGTGTGGAAGAATTGGTGGAAGGGAGAAAGGGGGAGCGGGTGAGGTGTTCATATCCTCAGTAAAGGAGGGGAGTGACCAGGAGGACAACATACAACAAAGAGAAGTATCAGGTGTAATAATCTGGCCGAGGTATTTAAGGAAGGGAACGAGGAACGGCGACCTGGAAGTAAGAGGAAATGAGGAGGATAACTTCCCCTCCTGTGTTAATAGGAGGGCAAGAAAAAACTGTGGTACACCTCACCTATAAGGGCAGTGATCCATGTCAGCACCTAGAAACCACTTAGAATTAATTACAGTTTGAAGTTTTGACTTTGCAACAGCTAAAGTAGTCTGGCTAGCTAGTGTCTAGATTGGTAAGGGGGTGGATTCACAGTCCTGAATGAGTGGTCAGAACGTTCAGCTCTCCTTCATCTCACCTGGATGACTGCAGGAGTCTGCTAGGAGGATGATTGCCAGGGTGTCCCTTTCTTACGCTCTTGCCCTCCTTGTGGTCTGCTCTCCACACAGAGGCCAAAGTGATCCATTTGTGTAGAGAAGGAACAGTTGAACTGAGCATTACTGTAATTTCCCTCCATTTTCTGCCACAACAGCCATGTACTGTTACTGACATGCATGGCAGGAGGAGCTCAATTCAGACATCATCTCATAATCTTATGATTTACATGATATGAGGATTTGGTTAAAATTGAGGTGAGGCATAAGTAATAGTTATCCTTCCTAACATCTGTATGTGTGACAATAACAAAATTTGTTAAGCTTTCTTGGAAGCCACGTGGTGTTTGAGCTGCATTTGAGAAAGTGTATAATTATGGAACTTTATTTACCCTCATCTAGCACATATTAAGAGCAAACACAAGTAGAATTTGAGGGATGATATGACTTTGTGTCATTTAGCGTACAGGGCATAGAAATGTAGGGATCAGATTCACTTAATTTTTTAAGCTAGGTTGTTAATAGAATATTGGCACTCTAGTGTGTATTATCTTTGTGTGTGTGTGTGCAGTAGTATTTTAAACTTTCTAGATGAAGAAACATTGAGATGTTGGAGGATTTACCTGAGGATGCAATATGATGGAGCAGAGATGTTAACTTACCTCTTGGTGTTGTGATACCAAATCTTGTGCTTTCCCCACTGTGTTATGGTTCTCTCTTTCTGCTAACGGAGGAAATTGAGGCCAAATACCATAGACTATGACATAAAGCTTTTTATGAAGAGTTAGTGTTTTCTTCTTTGGCTCACTTCTAAAATGTTGATGGATCTATGGCAGTGTAATTGTGCAAGCTCAGTACCTGTGCTTTAGCTTTTTTTTTTTTTTTTTTTTTTGGGTTCGCGGGCCTCTCACTGTTGTGGCCTCTCCCGTTGTGGAGCACAGGCTCCGGACGCGCAGGCTCAGCGGCCATGGCTCACGGGCCCAGCGGCTCTGCAGCATGTGGGATCTTCCTGGACCGGGGCACGAACCCGTGTCCCCTGCATCGGCAGGCGGACTCTCAACCACTGCGCCACCAGGGAAGCCCTTTTTTCACCTTCTAATCAGCAAGAGAGAACTGATTTCTCACTGAGTTGATACAGTCTCAGCCAAAAGCAAAGTAACATTATTTTAGTTAGCCTGTATTGCTTGCTTTATGTGATAAACGTATAATTGTTTATTTCAGTTACTGAAATATTCAAAGTAGGTTTTGCATACCCTTAGTCTAGGGGGCCCCCGCACCCCCAATTAAGAACGATTGTTGTAGGTCTTATTGTTGAGTAGAAGGTATAAAGCTGTTAACAGTGAAGATGATGCTCATCGGCATTCTGCCAGCACACATTTTCCTCTGAGTTTAGAGAAGTTATTACTCAGAATAATTGGTTGTGGTATTAACTGGTACATCACTTTCTGTACTAATATATACCTATCATATTCCAGATACGCCCCACTAGATTTTGGGAATTCAAAGAGAAGATACCATTTAGTCCCTGTTGTTAAGAAGCTTATGCTGAGTGTAAGAGGCAGATGGTATTGCTCACTGAGTATCTTAGTGTGACAGGATGTACTGGGTGCAGTTGGACCACAGAGTATGGTGAGGTGAGAGATGGTGGTCAAAGAAACCTTAGCAGAGGAGGTGAGTCAAGGCCATCTGGTGATTACAGTGTAGGCTGTGGAATCCAGTAGTTCTGGTTTTGAATCCCTGTTCTGCAGTTGGAGAATTATATGATTTGGAGCAAATTAAATCACCTCCCTAAGCTATATTTTTCTCACTTGTAAAATGAGCTAATGCCTACCTCTGAAATTGTAAAGGTTGAATAAGAAAATTTAAAGGATTTAGCAGCACAGTGCCTGGTAGGGACAAAACAGCTGCTCATTAAGTCAAAACTGTTGTTATTACTGCTGCTGCTGGGACTGTTACTTTGAACGGTGAGTAAGATTAGCTAGAAAGGGCAGAGGAGAAACAGCTTTCTAGAGACAGGAAAGAGTGTATGGGAAGACATGGTGACCGAAGACAATATTGGGGGAATAAAGTAGTAGTACCTACTTTAAAGATTATGTAGAGATTAAAATAATCATACACGTAAAGCACATAAGCGCTCAGAAGTAGAGTCCCTATTTTTAATTCCACACTCTTAACTCCTGTATAATTCCTTTTTGAAACATCTTTGTTCTTTTTGCATCTTTTATTTTTCCGTTTTTGTCCCTGATGTCTACTTCTTGTTGTCTTACTTGAGGGCATCCCTCAGAGTTTAGTTGTCAGTTCTCACTTCTCTAATCTTTTCTGTTGGAGAATTAGATGTTCTTCTGGCTTCCTCTGTCACTGTTACACAAACGATTTTAAAATTTACCGGTTGCCCTGACCTCTTTCCTAGGTTCCTCTTTTTAATTGGATCTTATTGGTCTCCTAAAATTTCTACTTGATATATTCATTTACTGTTCCATAATTCTGTTTCATTTGATTTCGGGAAACAATAGAAGGAAACTGATCTAGATTTGTCAGATTTTTACTTTGCCAAGCAGTGATATTTAAGAAAACAATCAAGCTCACCGTGTACTCCATTGTATACAGAAAAGGACATTTAAACATAACCATTTAAAAAGACCATAATCTTAGAATTTTAAAAGTAATGTAGTGAGTACTTCATTATGTTTTGCTTTCAGACTGCTGAAAACTTCTACATAGTAAAACACTGCTTTGGAGTAAACCTTGTACTGTCCCAATATTGATCTGCCTAAAATTTGATTTTGATCATATTTTTCAGGACTTTAAAATGGCTCACTACTACCTAACTGAAAAAAGTCCTAATTTTTAGGCCTTTACAGTTTGACCCCAGTTCTTTTTTTCAAGTCTTTTTCCCTCACCACTTTTCTGTTACCAACTTAAAAAAAAAAAAAAAATCCAAATAGTGGGTGGTGTTTGTAGTTTGGATCTGACCCAGGTTCAAATCTGACCCTGCCATTAGCTTTGTGGACTTGGGCAAGTTACTGTAATGAGAAGAAGCAAACAGCCCTTGGTGTCCTGGAGCTGCCCTGGTGCAGTCAGCTAGGCCGTGGTGTTGCTGTGACCTAGCCTGGAACTTGAGAGCTAGGCCTTCTGGGTGTTCTGTTGAACACAAACGGTTTCACTGAACATCAGCATCACACAAAGCCATTCTTTGAATATGATGGGTCAAGACCAGCAAAAGACCATGTTATAATCATGTCTTAACACAGGTAAAGACATGCATGTTGCCCAAGTCACAAAATATCCAACATTCCCCTCTCCAGGCTACTGGGAATGATTGTTGATGCTTTACTAATTACAGCTCTAGCCTCCCTCTGGTCTGCCTCCCTACAGAGATTTGTTGGTATACCCAATCATCACATTGTCCTCGCTTTCGGCCAGCACTCAAGCCAGAGTGAACCCCTGCCTCTTTGGGCTCTCCCCCAAAATCACGTAGTCAAATCCAAATCCTAAATAAGTCCTTTCCAATGTTCTCTTACCAAGATGCCCCACAGTTTCCCATGATGTGCTTGTTCAAACTCAGCTTGTTCAGCCATTGGTATGCTCCTGGTGTGTGGGTGGAAGGCATTGGCAGTAACTACCTGGAACCTTATTTTTCCTCATATAGGGACCAGGAGTAATAACAAGTTTTCTGCAGAGTTTTGAAGATTAGATGAGAAAACTTAAAGCACCTAGCAGAGTCCTGGTAGTTAGTAATTACTCGACGAAAGCTTGTTTCTTGTCCTCTGGTGAAGTAGTCTGATCAGTCATGGTCCCCTGAACAGGGCTTACAAGGACCTTGTTTTCATCCTTTCTCACCCATGAAGTGCTCCATTCTCGTCCTTCAAGACTCAGGTCACATACCTTCTGTTCTGTGAAACCTTTGCACCTCTTAATGATCTCTTCTGTCTCTGCACTTCAGGTATGTATTGTTTTTACCATTGACTTGACTATTGATTGTGCTCTACCTTGTGGCATCTTTGTACTTAACTTTTATTTAATTCTTAATTTTTCATGTACTTACACCTTGTTTGTTCAACTACATTTTCTTTAAGAATGGGGGCTGTGTTTTGAAACCAGCCAATTACTTTATAAAGACCAATTTCTCCGTATTTGTTATAGTATCTGGTACTCGGAAAATGCTTAAATGTGATTAAAGTAAAACAAAAGGAAGAGAATATATCATTTGTTGCCTCCCCTAAAAATATGGTGATATTGTGAAATTTGCCTAAGCCGGATACTTAAAGCTTTTTATATCTTCTTTCCTAGACAACACGATGTTGGGCGAAGAGAAGATGTCTGTAAGAAAACGGCTGTCGAAGTCCAGTAAACATGCTGAGGAAAAGGAAGAAGGCCAGAGAGACTGTACAGAGGAGTGCCAAGAGACACCTAGTAACGGTGAGGCTTTTACTGTTTCTGAGGTGAATTAATGAAATAGGCAACAGATTCAGTGTTCTAGAGCAAGGATTGCCATCTCTTTAGCTCTCTTATAAATGGATATGCTGGTAGGCACTGTAAAGTGCAGGGGAGAAAAATAAATTGATTAAAAGAATAGAAAGGAACAAATTGGTTTAGTTGCCAGTCACAGCTGCTTTAGATACTGCTGGTGACACTGGTGTGTAAATTGCTGCACCTCTCATAGAGGTGAGCTTTATTGATGTAAGTGGAGTTTGCAATGTATGCTTTAATTTAGTTTTATATATCTGGTAACGAAGAAACTAGAAAGTAAGCCCTTTTAAATTAACTCATTGAACATTTTTGGGGTATCTACTATGTTTTAGACATCATTCATTCATTTATTCATTCCTTCAACTACCTAACCTGTCAATAATTATTGGTGTCCTGCTAGGTGTTGGGGCTACAGCAGTGATTGATACAGATGTGTTTGCCCTCATGGAGCTCCAAGTTAAGTGAATGAGAACCCCTCTCCTGCCGTTAGCATAATTAGATTGTTATAAATAAGTGCTACTAATTACTCTTTTAATAGGTGTAATGAGCATAATGAGAGTAATGAGCAGGGTACCTAACTTAGTTAGTTCAATACTAGGTTATAAATCTTGGGGGAGTTTTGTTAGTTCTCATGTCCAAGTTTGCTTAACATGAATACAAAGCAGACTGTGACGCAGTACTTGTTAAGGTCAAGGTTTGTGCTTAAGATTGATAGACCTGTAAACACAACTTCAACTGATGTCATCTATTGAATCAGGCTATTTATTTTTGTGGTGACATTTGTATAGGTTTGATTTCAATGAGGATTTGAAATTTGAGGCTTGTTTGGTTAACAAATAGGTGTGGAACTTTCTGAGACAGGTTGTCTTTGGCATCCTGAGACTTCTTTCATAAAGAAAAGCTTTTGCTTTTCCTACTTAAATTTAATTGTAAATTAAATACAGCAGCTGGATCCAGGAATATAAATGTTGCTGCTTAAGTTTGCATAATGTAGTTTATTGATTTTTGGACTCTTAATTAGCTATTTATGAAATATTTATATTGTCATATGGACTAGTTTTAGTGTGATATAAAATGTGAAATTTGTGCAAAAGGATAAGCCAACATTGGGTAGAAAATTTCCCCTTCCTTGATTTAGGGACTGGGTGCTAATTCACATTGTCTTTTTATTGAAACTTTCTGTTACCAGTATGATTTTCTCACTATGTCCCATTTTTTAAAGAAAAGCTTTTAGACTATTCTAAGTTCTACATGTTTTCAGTACTCCTTATGGCCTCAGTTCATTAAGTTTTAATCATTCCAGGTTTTAATGCAGATAATAAAAATTGAATTGTTTAGCCTAAAACAAGAAGTCTGACCTCCTCCTTGGTTTAATGTAACTAACGCTGATCTGAAAATTGCATGTGTTTCTCCACTTACTTTAACATTGGTTCACTTTGGGGGAGTAAGCAGATGGGTAAAATGTGACCTTTGAGTGGTGAAGGGCTTAAAGGACACCACGCCATGCCAGTCATTGTGGCCTACCAGCCAGGCCCAGGGGCATCTGCAACACCTGGGGGCCTGTTAGAAATGCCCCACCTCACACTTAATTGAATAAAAATTTCATTTTAATAAGTTCTCAGGGGATTCATATGCAGGTTAAAGTTTGAGACACAGCTCTTAGAGTGGCAGTTCTCATTTGGTATGTGTATTAGTCAGAGTTCTCCAGAGAAGCAGAACCAATAGGATATATATGGATATATAAAAAGATTTATTATGAAGGGTTGGTTCAGATGGAGGCCGAGAAGTCCCACAGTTTTACTGTTTCTGTGCTGGATGCCCACGTACTTCTGAGTACCTTGGCTTTCACCTCTTGACTACTGTGAATACTGCTGCTGCTATGAACACAGGTATTCAAATATCTCTTTAAGACTCTGCTTTCCATTCTTCGGGATCTATACCCAGAAGTAGGATTGCTGGATTCTGTGGTAGTTCTATTTTTAATTTTTTGAGGAACTGACATAATGTTTTTGATTGCGGCTGCACCATTTTACAGTTTCACCAGTGGCACACAAGGGTTCCAGTTTAACCACATCCTCACCAGTGCTTATTATCTTCTGTTTTTGTTGTTGGTGGTTGGTTTGTCTTTTTAATAGTAGCCATCCTAACGGGTGTAGGGTGATACCTCACTGTGGTTTTGATTTGCGTTTCCCTAATGATTAGTGGTGTTGAGCACTTTTTCACATACCTGTTGGCCATTTGTATATCTTCCTTGGAGAAATATCTATTCATATCCTTTGGCCATTTTGTTTTGTTGGGTTATATGCTTTTTTGTTGTTGAGTTGTAGGCGTTTTATAATATTATGATATTCTGAATATTAATCCTTCATCAGATATTTTCTGCCGTTCCATAGGTTGCTTTTTCACTTTGTTGACTGTGTTCTTTGCACAGAAGTTTTTAAGTTTGGTATGATTCCATTTGTCTATTTTTGTGTTTTTTGCCTGTGCTTCTGGTATCATATCCAGGAATCTTTGCTAAGCCCAGTGTCATGAAGGTTTTGTCCTATGTTTTCTTCTAGTTTTAGAGTTTTGGGTCTTACATTTAGGTCAGTAATCCGTTTCGAGTTATTTTTTATATTGTATAAGTTAAGGGTTCAACTTCTTTCTTGGGCATGTGGATATCCACGTCAGTTTCGGGAGTATTGCCATATGTGGTAGGCCGGAAAATGCCCCCTCTCCCAAAAGGTCCTAAAACCTGGAACCTGTGAATGCTGCTTTATATGGCAGGAAAAGGGGGCAGAGGGGTCTTTGATATAATTAAGTTGGGAATCTTGAGATTATCTTGAATAGCCACCTGGGCCCTGAATGCAGTCCTGTATATTATAAGTGGGAGGCAGAGGGAGATTTGATGACACACAGAGGAGAAGGTGATTTGAAGATGGAGCAGAGAGAGATTTGTAGATGCTGGCTTTGAAGATTGGAGTGCAATGACCAAAAACCAAGGAATGCTGCTAGCTACCAGAAGCTGCAGAGCCAGGACTGGATTCTAGAGCCTCCAAAGGGAGTGGGGCCCTGCTGTGACACCTTGATTTCAGCTTGGCCTCCAGAACTGAGAGAGAATTTCGGTTGTTTTAATCCACCTAGTTCGTGGTAATTTGTTACAGCAGGTGCAAGAAACTAATACACTATCTTAACAATATTAAGTCTTTCAACCCATGAACATGGGATGTCTTTCTATTTACAGACATACCTCGGAGATATTGTGGGTTTGGTTCGAGACCACCGCAATAAAATGGGTATCACGATAAAGTGAGTCCACATGAATTTTTTGGTTTCCCAGTGCACATAAAAGTTATGTTTATGCTATACTGTAAACTATTAAGTGTGCATTATGTCTAAAACAGACAGTGTACATACCTTAATTAAAAAATACTTTATTGTTAAAAGAATGCTCACCATCATCTGAGTCTTCCTCAAGTTGTAATCTTTTTGCAATAGTAACATCAGAGATCACTGATCACAGATCACCGTAACAAATATAATAATGAAAAGTTTGAAATACTGTGAGAATTACCAAAATATGACAGACATGAAGTGAGCAGATGCTGTTTGAAAAATGGTGTCGATAGCCTTGCTCAGTGCACGGTTGCTACAAACCTTCAATTTGTAAAAACAAAAAACAAAAAATCCTGCAATATCTTCAAAGTGCAATAAAACGAGGTATGCCTGTATTTAGGTCTTTGATTTCTTTCAACAATGTTTTATAGTTTTAAGTTGGTAAGTTTTACACTTTTTTTGTTAAATTTATTTCTAAATATTTTGTTCCTTTTGCTGCTGTCGTAAGTGGAATTTTCTTAATTTCATTTTCCAATCATTTGTTGCTAATGTGTAGAAATGCAGCTGGTTTTTGTATATTGTTATTGTATCCTGCAACCTTGCTGAGCTCATTTATTAGCTCTAAGAGTTTTTTGTGTGTGTGTTTTGTAGTATTTTCTGTATACAAAATCATGCCATCTGCACATAAGAATTCGTCTTATTTCTTCATTTTCAATCAACATGCCTTTTATTTCATTGTCTTGCCTAATTGCCCTTGCTAGAATTTCCAGTAAAATGTTGAACAGAATTGGCAAGAGTGGACATTAGGCATTCTTGTGTTGTTTCTGATCTTAGGGAGAAAATTTTCAGTTTTTCTGTTAATTATGTTAGCTGTGGATTTTTGTAGGTGCCCTTTATCAGGTTGGGGACATTCTCTACCTTTCTCTTAATTTACAGGTAATGCCTATTCTTGACTACCATTTATTTTGCTGCATTGTTCATTTGATAGCTAATTAATGAGTAAATATGATAATGACCGCTAACAGTTTATCATGTGCCAGGCACTGTTTTAAGTGTTTAACAAATATTAACTTGGTTAATATACTTCTAATTCTATTCAATTTCAGTGTTCTTTGAGATATGTACATAAGTATTTGAACAGAGAGAACAACCTGCCTTTTGTAAAGATTGAGAGTCCCTTGGCAAAAATATATGAAAAAAAGTTAATATCATTGTTATTCTGTAATTTAGCCCCTTCATCCAATTTATGCATCTAATCATAAAACTGGCCAGTCCACATGGAGCTTTGATCAACTGAGTAGGTTGAGAACACATTTTTTTCCCCCTTAGAATAAAAGCAAAACATATTTGTTTTAGAAAGTGCAGATAAGCAAACGTTCAAGTGTTTATGATTTTTCCTTGGCTACATTCCAAGAAATTGTTTTTGGGTCATAAGATTTATTGGGTGGGTATTGCCAAATTGCCCTCTGGAAATATTGCACTCCCAGTAGCCATATGAGAGTGCCTGTTTCTTCAACCTTCTTCAGTCATGGATGATGTGACCTTTTGAATAAACTCTATGGCATTTTGAGAGATGACAGATTCCACTCTGCTTGAAAAAGGTTTTGTACAATGAGACATAGTTAAAAGCAGCA